TTTTTTACGTTTATATGAAAACAAGAACTAAAAATTATGTGTTGAAAGTGATGCCGCTTGATTTATTACGTTTTTGTGACCTTGAATCGCATTCTTTCACTACGCATTTACCCATTTTTGTCGCGGCTCAACTCTGTCGGTGTCACATTGAACAATGAACTCACGTTAGCTAGGCATATGGCTGTGGCCATATGTGCAGTGGCAACGCTTTGGCGCGGTTATAACTGATCTAGTGTTATATAAATCAACTAGCTGTGCCCGCGACTTCGTTCGCATGTAATCTTTTTCTCCAATTCTTTTATATTTTCAAACAGAGTATATATAATTATATATTTATTATAATCAAGCAGATTATTTTATACCTACCTGAACGTTAGCTTCGTGAAAAAGGCTAAAATAGATCAAATTTTTTACTTTTAATTTTGGATGACTTGATGGCAAGGATTAGCCATTTTATGATAATATCCACATTTTAAGAAAACCTAATGCCAGCTATCTACCACCTAATCCATTTCTGGTTTTCGAATAATAAAATCTTAATAAATACAAAACAAGGAGTCAAAAAGGGGATATAAATATGCAATTTAATTTAATGGTTTTATTTATTTAATCACGGTTTTGTTAGAACTTCAAAAGTAAAAGAAAATGTAAAAAAAATATATTCAGTTAACAAAGGACCTCTTCATAAACAACGTTCACCGTTTTGTTTTGTGGTGCTAAAATAAACAAATTAGTGGGATCGCTGATACGCGACACTGCCACATAGAGCTGCCCATGTGAAAAGCAGCTGTTCGTAAGGTCAACGCCTACTCTGCTTAGCGTTTGACCCTGTGCCTTATTTATCGTCATTGCAAAGCAAACACTCACCGGCAGTTGGACCCGTTTAAAACGAAACGGAAAGTTATTCGGAATAATCGGTATTCGTGGAATAAAAACTTTCTCACCCGCACCGCAACCGGTAAGTATCTCTGCCTCAACCACATGTCTCTGGAGAGCAACTACTTTGAGCCGAGTACCATTGCATAATTTTGGTGGACTTAAATTTCTTAAAAGAATTATGGGGATCCCTACCTTAAGTTTAATTTCATGTGCAGGGAGCCCAGACGCCGTTAATGCATTCAAAAACTCTACAGGATATGCTGTTACTTCTTCACGGTCAACTACTCTATTTATTGACGTATAGGTAACATTCTCCCCTTCAATACGTTCTAAAATGGTCATGTTGATACTTACAGCTTGATCATTACGAGGCGTAAGTATAGCGCGCTCACAAAGCCAAGAGTTTCCTTGGTTTACTATACCAGCCAGATCTTCATAAACAGATATAATAAGTTCCTCAATGTTAAGGACTGTTTTGCACAAATTATTAATTAAATCTATTCTACCATCAACCTCAGGAAACCTACCTTCACCAATACTCAATAATAACTGTGAGAAATCTTGAGCATTTGTGTTCTCGCCTCTTTGCGCTCGCATGTTTGTGGTGAGATTTAACCTTGTAATATGGGGCCAAAGAATTGAATTTTTTAAACATGCGCTAATTTCATCGGCTCTTGTCCCGCGTGTAACTATTGGCAATGTCTGCCGAAAATCTCCACAGAAGAGCATAGTGACTCCGCCCATAAGTTCATTGTTGTGTCGTATATCTTGCAGCGTTCTATTGACGGCTTCTACTGCTTTGCGATGCGCCATTGTACATTCATCCCATACAATTAAGGTGCACTCACGAAGTACTCGAGCTATGTCACTATTACGTGAAATGTCGCAAACGGGGGTTTCAGTGACGTCTAATTGTGTGGGTATTTTGAACATGGAATGTGCAGTTTTGCCTCCTGGAAGTAAGGTAGCTGCAATTCCGGACGATGCCACGGCCAATGCAATTTTTCCCTGGCTACGTATTTGCGCAAGGATAAGTTTCGTAAGAAATGTTTTACCAGTACCGCCAGGGGCATCCAAAAAAAACATTTCACCAGAGGTGTTCAAAGCGCTGTTACATATACGATCAAAAATAATTCTTTGTTCGGGGGGTCATGATAGGTACACCTACTTGAAGAATTTGGGCCAGTTCCTCTGAGTCGTAATTGGATTCCGTTGCATACTCTCGATTAGTTTGTTCGACATTTAAGATTGGTTCAGGTAATCCATAGCGTATTAAGGGATTACCACCAATTGAAAAAACTGTGTTTTGTATATCACACAAACAACGATTCAATACATCATTGAGCATCTCTTAATTTAGTTCACCATGTTCAAAATTAATGTAATCTTCAGCTAAACTTTTCTGGTGTTTAACCCAAAGTTGATTAGCATCTGAAAGGCCACAAAATACTAACAACACCGCAAATAAATTCCGTAAACGACGCGGGCTATCACTAACAGATGCTTCAGCGAGGGTGTTGTCCCAGTGCTGGTCGTCGTCCAATAACCCTCGAGCCCGGCAAGCAGCTTGAAAAGAAGGATATTGAGTGTTGTTGAACATTCTCAAAGCCAAAAATGATGTGGGTCCTCGTACTGTATGCAAAAGTAAACGTACGTAAAAAACATTCGGAGTTATTGGGATGTACAGTGTACACTCTGCCGAGCACATGTTCTTTAAAAAGGTTGGGAAAACCTTCAACAGGAATACCACGTCGGCGACGATTAAAAATCCTGTGTTGCTTATCGTATGTATAATACGCTGGAACTTCGTCATAAAGCAAAGTTCTTGCGAAATCGTCAGATTCGCATAATCGAAAGAACGCCAGTAAAGTTGTTTGTCTAGGATTTTCTAGTTGCTCCACAATATTGTCTGGGTGAAAATATACGCGTTGTCCGCCTTCCACGTGAACGTCTAAATGCATTACCGGGGGATTACGCTCGCTTATTGGGAAACTGAATATTCGCCATGCTGCCTCCGAAGAACTTATGTATCGCCCTGATTGAAATCTTGTAATTTCGTCAAATCTGTCGTTGCTCATTGCAAGTGTTGCTTGATCCGTCCCTTTATTTACATACTTAAAAATGTATTTAATTGATTCAACACTGTTACACATTTCTACGTTTATATGGGTTTGGAAAGTTCTCGATAGCACAGGTGAGTACGGCACTACCCACCTGTTATCTACTTCTACATCTTGTCCAAACATTCTCAATTTTGTGGTGAATCCTCCATACTGTGGAGCACGCCGCCGATATTTGGGATAACCATCTTCACCAGTGATTGTTTCTCTTAAAAGGGGTCTTGGATATTTTTTCGTACATTGTCCATCCTTCATGCACGGAGAATTATTATTTAATGCACCGCAAGGCCCGTGTATCATCTGTGTTTTAACAATTTGGTGTAAAATAGGATCATTTGTGGGATTTGATAATTCTGCACTTATTATATTATCAACGTCATTAGGACGAATTTTTTGTAATAACCATAGAAGAATGTGAGCGTGGGGCAGCCCTCTTTTTTGCCATTCCACGTTGTATGTATAGCATGACGTAGCGCCAAAAACGTTTTGCTTGGTTAATAAGTTGATTAACAACTTTAACTTTAAATAAAAAAACTCGACTAATTAAATCGTGTCGATCGTACGATGCTTGACCTTCTAGCAGCTCTTGAGAAATCTCGATCCATTTAGGGTTAGTAGTTATTGTTATGAAAAGATCTGGCCTACCATACTTGCGAACATAACAGAATGAGTCTTGAACGCGTTCATTCATATTTCGGGGACTCCCGATAAAGCTGGAAGGCAATATAACTAAACGTCCTAAATTGTCTATGTGTGTATCTCCCTGTACTGCATCATGAAGATCCACATAATTTTCGGCACGCAACTGTCTCTGATGAGTACGAATGAATACTAAACGCTCTGTTTCAACTTTTGCGTACATATCAACAATAAACTGGTTAAATAAGCCACGAAATCGTTGTAAATATACAAAACGACGTTGTCTTATTTGCATGAGATAACAATAAAATTGCAGAGCCGAAACTTTTCTGTCTAACCGAGGTGCTCCTGTAGCGGGGTCAACTTGATAAACCGTAAAGTTGTAACCATCTTCACCGCGACAGTAAATAAGTGGGTATTGTAAGGAGTCGTAAGAACGATGAGTCTCACTAATTCGTTGCAGGCGGTCATCACGCGTGCGTACTATAATGTCGCGCTTGTCGCATTGCTGATCCACCAGGACAACTGCCACTTCATTGGTGGATGGAGAATTATAACGGCCGGAATGTTGCACTAAAGGTCGCTTATCCGCGCTAATAACAAACTTATAATTATTGTATTCATCTTGAGGGATCGACTCTAGTACAGCTTTGAAATTGGATACATAAGGGTTGACCTGATGAAGCATGCCCTGAAGCTCTGAGATAACATTAGCGTTTAAATTTGGGAAATTCTGCCTCCTTATATTGGCTTGTTCATGGTAATCAGAAACGAAATATATTTGTAAAAACTTTGGTTCTGTCTCAGGCAAAAGCGAACCAATTAAGTGGTAGACTTGCCCCTGCACTTTAAAAAGTAGGCATAAATGTTCCATGTACCACTTGCTTGGCCCCGAAAGAAGTCATCTGGAATGCCCCATTGTATGAACGGATATTGTCTAAAAACTGCTTGGAATGTGGATGGTCCCCATTAAGTAGCGATTTAAGAGGTTCTGGGGGCTCTTGAAATATTTCCAATTGTACCTTGCCAGCTGAACAGCAAAACCCGTTTGATTCTTTAGACCACTTAAGTGATTGACAATGACTACAAGTGCGAATCATTCTTCCGATCTCGGCAAATTCACTATAGTCAATATTAAAAGTGTAGGTAAAACCACTATTTTCTTTATCAACCCAAGGGAGGTCAGTGTAGTTCTCTCTGTCCATAGATGGCGGAGTAAAGGTGGGTGAACGATTTATAAAAGTACGAATACGATCAGCTTGTAACCGAATTGCACGTTCACTCTCTGTCTCGTTACTCCTAATTGCTTGCACTCTTTCCCTTTGTAAAGACAAAAGTTCGTTACGGTGTTGAAGCGAATTTTCATAATATCCCCCTTGCCAATTCTAAGCGTAAGTCATGCTCCTGCTGGGTTTCATGTGTCCTACTTACCGAACGGCTCTCCCTATCTGCTGCTAACCTCGCTTCATATTGAGTAAATGATTCCGAAGCACGTGATCTTGCATGACGTTCCCGGTCTGCAGTCAAGCGTTCCGAATATTGAGTTAGCGTTTCTGAAGCGCGAGACTCAGCATGACTTTCACGGTCTGCAGTCAACCGTTCTGAACACTCCGTAAATGTTTCCGAAGCGCGAGACTCGACATGACGCTCACGATCTGCAGTCAAGCGTTCGGAATATTGAGTAAACGTTTCTGAAGCGCGAGACTCTGCATGACGCTCACGGTCTGCAGTCAAGCGTTCCGAATATTGAGTAAACGTTTCTGAAGCGCGAGACTCAGCATGACGTTCACGGTCTGCAGTCAACCGTTCTGAACACTCCGTAAATGTTTCCGAAGCGCGAAACTCAGCATGACGCTCACGGTCTGCTGTCAAGCGGTCTGAATATTGCGTAAACGTTTCTGAAGCGCGACTTTCAGCATGACGTTCACGGTCTGCAGTCAACCTTTCTGAATGCTCCGTAAACGTCTCTAAAGCTCGAGACTCGATATGACGTTCACGGTCTACTTTTAAACGCTGAGAGTAATTTGTTAATGTTTCCGAAGCGCGAGACAACGCGTGACGTTCGCGATCTGTAGCTAAGCGCGTTTCATTATTAAAACTGGACTCTGATGCCCGAGATTCCGCAGTTTGTTCTCTATTGTAAGCTAAACGGTGCTCACGGTCCTCATTTGTCTCTTGCGATCGAACTTGTCTCATCCTTTTAGCCCTTCTAGTGTATTGAGAAAGACTACTTTTCTTTTTTTTGCGGCATTATTTAAAATTTATTCAACAACCAAAACACAAAATAAAATCCTTATCCGAAAATGTAATCACGTATGTAACAATTTAGTGATCACTTAACCTTAGACTACAATAATAATATTAATTAATTCAATTTAATTTAATTTAAATTTAATATATTATTACAGTCTAAAAAAATCCAAACAACTAATTCCGTATCGTAAGACAAAATATCAGAAATCCGTAAATCCGTAATATGATGTCATGAAAGGTAAAAAGAATAGAAAACTTAGCACACAGTATTATAGTATTATCACAAATATAACAACTTTTACAAATTATCATATTGAGTAGATATAAAATAATGTGTCATTAAGAAAACTCACGAAAAATCTTACCTACGCGAGGTAGATGTTCAGCAATGACATCTAACGGAACGTAACGGAAAATAGTGAAATAAAACAATTATCATTGTACCAATATATATTTCATAAAAAAAAAAATAGTTATATTCCTATTATAGGATAGAAAAGGACCTAACTAAAAATTATAATTGTTTATTATGTATTTATACAAATAATATATACAATTTAAATAATATATACAATTTAAATAGTCGCCGTGAAGTGACGTAGTTAGAGAACCATACTGTTTAATGAGGGCTAATAATTTTCTGCTCACCAGATGTCGCTAGTTGACACTGAGATAAAGTTTTTTGTTACACAATGTCATTTAATGGAGAAGTAAGTTTTTAATAAAAGTTTATCAGTTTCTAGAGTATTATACTAATACACAAAACAATGAGTCAGTGGTTTGCTGTTTAATTTTTTGCACATTTTTAACTTTTTTAAAATTTTTCTACTTTTATGAATATTATGTATTTTTAATTTTAAAAATATAAAATATAGCAACAGTACAGAAAGAAACATTAACCTTTACATTTTTCGAACAAATTAACTTCCCCGCCCTGATATCTGTCAAATATTATACCTCACTTCACCTTCACAAGTGGCGCCACACTGGTGGCAGAAAAAGGTGTGGATGCCGTCATTGTAACTTACTTTTTCTTAAATGGCGCTATTATGTATTTAAATTAAACTTGATTTTCATAACGATAGACAAAATTTAAAAGCAATACATACATATAAAAAGCTTCTATAAATGTTTATATTTTTTAATAAAACTTTAATATGTATAATAAATAATTTATTAGTGCCTGAAGGGAAAACGTAACACTTTTTGCATTTTAATAATAGATGGCACTGTCTTATAAACATACAACGTAGTCGGTGAAGTTTTAAACTAAGTTTCAACGGTTAACATAGTATATTAAGCTTCAGTTATAAATATACATTACAAATAAAACTTTAATATGTATAATAAATAATTTATTAGTGCCTGAAGGGAAAACGTAACACTTTTTGCATTTTAATAATAGATGGCACTGTCTTATAAACATACAACGTAGTCGGTGAAGTTTTAAACTAAGTTTCAACGGTTAACATAGTATATTAAGCTTCAGTTATAAATATACATTACAAATAAAACTTTAATATGTATAATAAATAATTTATTAGTGCCTGAAGGGAAAACGTAACACTTTTTGCATTTTAATAATAGATGGCACTGTCTTATAAACATACAACGTAGTCGGTGAAGTTTTAAACTAAGTTTCAACGGTTAACATAGTATATTAAGCTTCAGTTATAAATATACATTACAAATTAAGAACTTTATGTAATCTACCTTAAGACTAATGACATTTTATGCACTTATTATAAAATTATAAAATTAACTCCAAAGAAAGGTAAAAAAACATAACCTTCTTTTTTTGATGCTCCGTAATCGGATAAAAAGTAGCCTATAAGTTGCCCCGGGTTCTTAACTACCCACTTACAAAATTTCATGTAAATCCGTCTTGTAGTTTATGAGTGAATCCGTAATACACAGACAGACAGACAAAAATTCTAAAAACTACTAATTTGGTTTCAGTACCGCTTGTTTAGTCCCCTGGACTTGTTTTTTTCAAAAAATAATAGAATTACAGACACGACTTTTCTACAGATTTATTATATGTATAGATGCTTAAGGGTTTAGTAATAGGCCGTGTTTAACATTTATGGCGTAATCGTCTTAGTTAGGACCCTTATTTACGTTGTGTTTGTTTAGTAACTTAGTACTTTTAGGTGTCTTTTGGAAGAATGAATATTCACTAAAGCAATTGAAAGCTGTTGGTAGTGCCTTATAAGCTAAGTGAACCCCGTTCACGAAGACAGGCCTCGAGAAATGTTAAGAACATAAAACGTCCCTATTCCACTTGTATCAGGTTTACATTATTTATTTGTAATATCATATATTATCAATATTAATAATTATCCCTTCCCGCTGCGTGCGTGTAAAAGCTATATAGAATACGAACAAATCCAGCCACAGTAAATGTACGTCACAAGGTTTAGGCAAATAGGCACACTGGCCATAAACCCTCCGTGAGCGCCACCACCTGCCAGACCACCGTTCCTGCAGACGTGATTTAAGTGTATGGCATCACCACCAGTTGCATGATCAGCACGTTTACTAGCCGCAGAGCGTGTCATGAGTCTACCGCTCACCTCAAGGGAATGGGGTTCCACGTTGTGCGGCTTTCGGCCGCAGTCTTGAGAGTCCGCATGAGGTCGACACATATGCTCCACCAACCAATACAACGGCAGATATAGCCAAAAAGCATTTATAAGATATTAGTAATAATTCGCCATCAGAAAGGGCTTGTGTCACTGACGTTCAGTATATGTATTTTCCAACATGTTTGTCTCACCCACCCACAAGTTGCATTCATCCATTCAAAGGTGGAAAAGTTACAGAGATATATTATTATGTTGTTATATAAAACATCATGGAGGTCAAACAAAATGCAGCCCCGTAATGGAGGGACCTGACTTGGGCAAAGCTACTTAGGTGTGAGTTAAATCAAGACGCAGATAGCGCCATTGGAAATAGCGTCCTACAAAATAACCATCGCAGAAGCCCATTATATTATGTCTTTAATATATGGGACCTCAATCCACAACTCTACTATTGTTATGTCTAATCATCATAGAGACCTTCTATAATAATGCTTTTGTATCATAGACCTTACTATCATAAGTCATTAATATATAGGACTTCAACCCACAACTCTAGTATTGTATTGCTTATACTTCATAGAGACCTTCTATAATAATGGTTTTGTATCATAGACCTTACTATCATAAGTCATTAATATATAGGACTTCAACCCACAACTCTAGTATTGTAATGCTTATACTTCATAGAGACCTTCTATAATAATGGTTTTGTATCATAGACCTTACGATCATAAGTCATTAATATATAGGACTTCAACCCACAACTCTAGTATTGTAATGCTTATATTTCATAGAGACCTTCTATAATAATGGTTTTGTATCATAGACCTTACTATCATAAGTCATTAATATTGTTACGCGCTCCAGTCAACGATACACTAGCGCCATCTAGTGTCAGGAACGAGAGCGAGGGGAGCTTTGCAGTGAATGACATCACAACCGACAGCGCCATCCGAAGAAACTAAGTTTCTAGAAAATCTATACTCGGACTCTCGGTACCTTACGCGTGTTTGCTTGAACATTCTGGATATTTGCTAATTTAAATAAGTAGGCGCTGCAAGGTGCGATGGAGGCAGTGTTGATTTGGGCGAAACAAGCGAAGTTTCGGGCGGAATTAAGTGAATTAGTGTGTTTAATTATTAGTGTTTTAACTTTAATTTGTGTAAAGTAAATTAAAGTGTTAATTTAGGTAATTTTATCGGCAATTTTTATTGTCACGAACCTCAAGCTCGTAACAATTGGTGTCAGAAGTGGGATAAAATCATGCCGATTTTACCTAAGGAGGAAACAGAGGGTGTCCGTACCCGAAGTCAACGCCAGCAGGAGACGGACCAACGAAGATTTGGTGGTGCAACGCCGCAGACGTCGGAGGACCAGCCACCGGCTGCAGGCCCGTCGGTAGCTCCTACATCTGCAGCACCTGACTTAGGTGCTCTGATGGTGATGCTGCAGGAGCAGGCTCGCCGACAGGAGGAGCAGGCTCGCCGACAGGAGGAACAGGCTCGCCAGCAGGCGGAACAGGCACGCCGATTGGAAGAGCAGCTGCGGAGCGGACAGGAAGAACAGGCCCGTCGGTTGGAAGAGCAGATGCTCCTCATGAAGGACCTTCACGCTACCTTCGGGAAGGAGATAAAGGAGGTGAAGGATAGGGTTGCTCAGCATGACAACCGCCTGTCGGAAGCCGAAACCCAAATCGCGAAAGTTGAAATTGACCCTAAGGACAAGGAGAAAACTGCGTTCTCGACGGGAAAGGGTCTGTGGCAATTCAAAGTAATGCCGTTTGGGTTGTGCAATGCTCCAGCAACGTTTGAAAGGCTGATGGAACTTGTACTTACCGGGCTAATTGGCGATGCCTGTCTGGTCTACTTGGATGACATCATCATCGTGGGCCGTACGTTTGAGGAACACCTTCAAAACCTGGAACGCATGCTCATGAAGATTCAGAGTGCCAACCTCAAGTTGAGCCCGAAGAAATGTTCACTCTTTCAACGGCAAGTTAACTTTTTGGGGTTTGTAGTATCGGAAGAAGGTATCCGCACAGATCCAGAGAAAATCGCCGCTGTCAAGGATTGGCCGGTTCCAAAAGACAAGACGCAGGTTAGAGCATTTTTGGGTTTGTGCTCCTATTACCGGCGATTCGTGAAGAACTTTGCAGATATAGCCAAACCTCTGCACAAGCTAACCGAGGAGAAGCGACATTTCTGCTGGGATGAAAGTTGCAATATCGCATTCCAGGAGCTCAAGGACCGTCTGTGCAAAACACCTATTTTGGGATACCCTGATGCAAGCAAAGAATTTATAGTTGATACAGACGCAAGTGATATAGGACACGGCGGTGTGTTGTCTCAACGGAAT